AAAAAAAAAAAAAAATCAGTGAGTGGCTTAAAATTAATAAAACCACCTTGGCTACATAATTATTTTTCTAAATGAAGGACTGGGATGTGCCTTATCCACATGCAGAGGAAAACAGGGAACTCAGGACTCGGGCATTCATCTTCCCATCTGCAACCCGTGGAAACAGAACAGGAAAGTCAGTATAGGCAGAGACTGCACTGGCTTTACTGAAGACACTTCTCAGTATTGGTAAACTCCTGAAAAGCAAAAAAATATCAGCAGCAAGCACCCATTTGTTTGTCTGAGACACTAGGTCCTAAAATCCCTAAGGGCCGCATCAGTGAGAGGCGATGATGTCTTTTAAAAATTGGAAATAAATCTGGGAGTGGTCTCTCTGTCACGCAGTAATGGCCTGACCTTCAAAAGGTACTGAGCACATGCAATTTTCACTGATCCCAATGGCAGTTGGGCTTGCTCAGTACCTCAGAGAATAAAGCCACAAATACCTTTTACACAACCACATATTTTATAGTGTTTAGCCCCATCTTGGTTTTAAACATTTCACCGATAACCACGACAAACATAACCACTGATATCAAAGTTGGTCAGTCCCCAGACACTTTTTAATAAAGCAGTATAGCTGGCAAAACTGACAGTAACACGGAGTCAACTGGAAAACAACATGCTGCACAACAATCCCATGTGAGACCAGGGACTTTGGCCAAGAGTATCAGGGCAAACATTTACCCTTCCAGGAAGTAACACGGGATTTTTATTGTCCAGTGAAAACAGATGGTGCCTGGATTTTTAAGTTTCACCTAAAAGAGCAAGAGATAAGCAAACACAAAGGGCTTAAAAAAAATCAGTTTCTCTACCTCAATGGGAGGATTTCTTAATGCTGTCAGGACCTGAACCTTGTACTTGAATCGCAGCAAGCACTGTAGCAGCAAAGTTATTGTTGCTGTACTTGAAAAAGGATGAGCCCTGAGGTCTTTGATAACCTTGCGTGATCAAAACTCAGTTTTACATTTTATCAGAAGGGAGCATCTCCAACAGCAGAGTGCTCCCTGATGCCTGCCAGCAGCATTTCTCCAGTGCTGACTCACAGGGGCAAAAGGATACCACCTACTAGATCACCCAGGCCACTTCCCGCAACACGTAGGTAAGCCAAGACTGTCTCTTATTCTAGGCCATGCACACGCTGCTGGATAACTTCTTCCAGATAACAATTCAAAAGCTTGGTCCTCCACATAAACCAGCCTTCAACATATTTAGTTTTCTAGAGAAGCATTAAATCAGCTCCAAACTGACATAACTTGATATTCACGCTGGACCTTGTATTGAGTCTGCAGGTGGAGTTTCTCTAACATACTGTCTCCTGTTTCCATTTTTCCTCCCCACTTGAATCACCAGCTCCAGACATTAGTTGCTACAAATCTCTGTTTAGCAGCCTTTAAAGTGTAGGACAAGCATGTGTTTCTTCTAGAATGTCAGCACAATGGGGGTGGGGAGCAATCTGTTGGAAATAAGCTCTCGTGTACTGAAGGGAGCTTTTAGTGAATTCCATTTCTGTGAATGCTGACACTGCAGATCAAGCCAGCAGACTGAGGGGGGAAAAAAACTTGTATTCCAACCACTAAATGGCTCCCTCTTATTTCAGGAGAATAATGAGCTACTCAGTTAATCACTTCCAGCTCAGCACCATGTATCAAAAGGCCATTCCACTTCATACTGTAGTTTGAATCCTAAGGCCTTAACTATGATGAAATAATTTGGTGTTATTATGCTTGAGTTCAAAGCAGCTATCTGAAATATCACAATTGACTTCCCATTAGATAAGCTGCACTGTGCATATCTAATGTGCTGTAACATAAAAATGTAAGTTTGGTTCAATCCAACTGAAAAAAATATATTATGGTGAAAAATACATTCATGACATGCACCTCCTTGCTATATGCAAATTCCCACACTCAAAATAGCAGCTTCCTAGTTTCTTTCTATTTAACTAGGAACAAGCAGAAAAAGAGTGCTAACTCAAATTCATTCACACACACATGCACTAAGAGTGAAAAGCCCTATTGCTGTTCCCCAGCACACAAGAACTCAGCTTTTCAAAAACACCACCACGTTCATGTGTCTTGTTCCTGCTGAATAAAATTTATAAATGTAAGCCCTCAACGCTGCTTCCAAAGTCCACAAAAACAGCCTCAACAGGCCCTTATGTATCCACTAGGAATGTGTAAACATAAACCTCCAACTTAAGATGCCTCTTTTCAGATTTTACTTTTCAGCTGCAGCGTCCTGCTCTCCTGCCCCTTCTTTTAGTATTTCAAGCCGACTTCCATCACGCATGTGACCTGTAAGCTGCAAGCCATGGTAACCTCTGCTGACCGTTTCTTTTCTGCGTTTGCCCTTCTTTTATGTTTGCCTGTCTCTTTTGCCTCTCAACTGTCAGTTATCCCTCGCTTGCTCTCATGTAGTTACAGTCTTCTTCTTCATAACAGACTGACTGTTGGTAAGGCTATATATTTTTTCTCTCCCATGAGTAACGTATTACTTTTGATTGAGAGGCAATGCTCAATTTTATAAGTCTATATTAATGGTCAGGATCAAGCCAACCTTTTTAATAAGCTTCAAGAAATTAGCCAATAGTTGTAGGCAAGGTATTCCACTCATGCTTGATTTGTGGGTGGTTTACAAAAAAAAATAAATAAATCTGAGAAATAAGAGAGACCACATACTGTATTTACTCACACCCCCTATGCACCTTTTCCCTAAAAATCAGTGCCCCAAAATTGGGGTGCATGCCTTAAGCAGGAAAGCTGATCTTACTTTGTTGGAAT